AATTATTCGAAATCCTATAAGCATGCTTGTTAAACCTTGTTAACGAGGGAATTAGGTTATTAAGAGAAGCAGAATGAACAAAAAAAATTGAACTGGTTACAGGTTCTGCAGGTAGTAGTATCTACTATTACCGAATTTAATTCCTAGGAGCATGTTATCTAACATTGACTGCGAATGAAAGCGAATCAGATTGATTTAAGAAACCCTTATAGGCATAATTTCTATGCATTACTCATTTTAAACCTTATAGGCATGGCATCTAAATGAAGTTTGAATATGCAGAATTAAAAGTACCTTATAGGCAGGTTTTCTACGTGAAGTTGAATATACAGAATTAAAAGTATCCTATAGGCATGGTCTATAGGCGAAGTTCGAATATGTAGGAGTTAAAACACCATATAGGCATGTTTTCTACCCTTGCATGCATAGTTACCCAAACCTTTTCACTAGCCAGCCCCAAGTGTTTATTACAACTTATTACAAACCAGAATAACAAATTGCATCAGAACAGGAAAAATACAAAGAAAGTACAACCAGAGGAGGCCTGATTCTTGACTTCCTCTCTGAGTTACGAGATAAACCAACTCAAAGACCATTGATCCAAAACCTTTCTCCAATTTAAGTGTGTCTGAGTTCCCTAAGAGACTCAATGGGACTCCGGGCAGTGCTCAGACCCAAATTGTATTACCAGAATAAGGACAAGTGCAGTGTAGAAGTGTCAGCCCTGAAGTGTCCAAGTTCAGAGGGAGCTCATGGGTCCCAAGGCAAGGCTCACAAGGGGGGAGGGGTCAGAACATAAGTCTAAGAGAGAGTGCAGGTGAAGAAACAGAGTAAAGAAGAGGGAGAGAGGTGCTGGGAAACAGTTACAGAGTTAAGGACTTCACACAAAAGAGGTTCAGGGATTAGGGATTGCAAAGAGCCTATGCACTTAGGCATTAGTTAATTCTGGGCATGCACAGCAATAGGGAGTGTTGTTATGCTTACAAAATCAACCAGAATACACAATCACATAATGGTAACATAGAGGTTATGATCACGGGGGAATCACGTTTGAGTCATAGACAACAATACTTAATATTGTCATGCCTCAAACAAACTATCAGTATCAACACATTCGGGTAGGGGTTTAGGACACATAATAGATTCAAAACAGGTAGAAGGAAATTACATCATGCTAAATTAAGTACTGGACTAAACACAAACAGAAGGCAAACAAGAAGGCAAACGTATTAAGTAAACATATTGTTGTGATGCTGAAATCTTAATCAGAACATACCAGTTCAAAGAAGAAAAATATAGTAAAAGCAAGTAGTAGGACTTTGAAGACAAGCCACAGTACAAGTAACAAGAGAGAATATTTTGAGTGTAAGTGATTTCAGAACTAAGTATGTTCGTGTATATGTGTTAATGAAAGAGCAGGTTATTTATAGTTTGAAGACACGCAGAAAATAAGTCAAGGATCACAGTTTAGCAGTAATTATGGAACTATGTACCAATTAAAATCAAATCAGTATAAGGACTTCCTTTAATTAAGGAGTTAAAATCAGACGGTAATGGGCAGAAAACATTTTAGGAAAGAAATCAAGCACCAGGTGCAGAGTAGACAATTAGGGGTAAGTGCATAGAGGTTTAATTAAAGGAAGAATCTTTGAAATACTCGGTTAGCCAAATAAGGTAAGAAAACAAAGTAAAGTTGCAGCATATGGAGATAATCGAAAATCAGTACATAGCAAATCAGGGAGTCAAGGATTTCAAAATCACTGATTTAAGGAGAGTGACATGGGTTCCCAAGAATAAACAAGTAAACCAAGTTAAAGACAAGAGAATTGAAAGTCTAAGGGGAAGTTTTCAAACCAATTCAAAACACAGGGAAATCAGTAAACAAGGGAAGAATCAATTACACGAGTGCAATCAGAATTACACGGGAGGTTTGAAATCAGTCCAAAATTGAAGGTCATTTTAGAGGGGAATTTAGCATATAAAAGAGTGCATAAACATTAGGCATGCAAGGCTAAACTTGTGACAAAGAGAATAACAATCACAAAATCAGTAGATAGTGAATTATCGCAACATGGTAGTCACATAGGTCAACTTAGTAATAGGGAAAAAGGATATCAGAAGCATGCAAAAGTCCGGGTAAAAAGACTTTTTCTGAAAAATATAGTCTAGTTTCAATGCTTGCAAGAAACCAAATCACATAGAGAAACAGAAGTTGAAACAAAAAAGACTTCGAATCCAGTCGAGCTAATTCAAACAGATGAAACAGCTTTCAGAAGTTCGAATAGGTCTAGAGAAATTAGGGTTTTGAAATTAATCGAATTCAGAGCATGACGAACAAGTAAATCATATAGCAAGTAGTCTCAAGACTCGAATGGACCCAAAATTTTAGGGTTTTCACCATCAATTGAGTTCTAGAGATGAAAAGCAAGTAAATCGGACAAATACTAACAAAATAGATTCAGAAATCTCAAAAGGTCAAAACCCTTAAAACTCAAGTAAAAGAACAACATAAGGAAACACAATAGAACATGTTAGAAAATCAAAGAAAGCTTCGAAACAACTTAACAGAAACTCAAATCGGAAAAGATAAGGGTTCTTGAAGGTAGAGTTTTGAAATAAACCTTGAGAAAACGTTTAAAAGTTTAGAGTAAACACAGATTTAAAACAAATCTAAAGAAATCGGAAGAACCTCAAAGGTTAGGGTTTCAGAAGAACCCCAGATGGTGAGAAAGGCTTGGAAACCATCGATCTAAGCAGGAGAAGTCAAGAGTCAGGCTTGAATAGCCTTGGCTGGCCGGAGCAAAGTCAAAGATGACCGAGACAGCCATAAGAACTGAAATCGACCAAGGTCTGGACCGAGATTCCCCGATATGGCCTTGAAACCATAGTACTCGAACACATAGAAGCCAAGGGAAGTGGATACAGGCCTCCAATGGCTTTGGAGACCATGGATTTGAGAGATTTTCAGGTGGTAATTGAGGGCGGAGGCTAGGGTTTAAGAGGGGATTGAGAGAAAATTGAGAGAGGAAGGGGTTTGAAGGCGGCTGCAGGTGAAAAATGACTAGGGTTTAGGGTAGGTCGGGATTAAAAAAGGAAAGGGCTGATGTGAGCCGTTGATCTAGGCGATCAACGGCTGGGATTAAAAGGAAATTCGGGCGAGTTATTTAAAAAGGGGCGTGGGTCGGGTAGATTAGGATTTGGGCTGGGTAATTGGGTTTAAAATTGGGGTTCAATTCAGGCTATAATTGAAACACAATTGGGGTATATTTTAAATAGCCACTCTTCCCTTATTTATTTTATAAAAAATAGTAGAATAATTTCTGGAAGTAAATTAAAGGTACTAAAATAATTAATATTACATAATTATCGAATTAAACATATTGGACCTAATTTTTTATAGACACAAACGTAATTAAATCTAAAAGAGGCTAATATTGCAATTATATGCAATTTAGCTTTAAAAATACTAAATAAATTTGTAAAAATATGCAAAAATTACATTAGCTATATTTTAGTATAAATATGAGAGTTTAATAAATGAATCACCCAAAATAAAAATTTTAGGAATAATTATTGGGTTTTTGTCTGGATAAGATAGGGTAATAAATTGATTTAAAAATCTTTAAAAATTAAGAAAAAATAATAAAATATTTGGACATACTTATATATGCATACATATGCTATTTTGAAAGTATTTTGCATATTAAAAATATATAGGAAAAAATTGGGTATCAACACTATGTGGAAAAAAGAGAGAAGAAAATAAAAAAGAAGAAAGAAAAGAGAAAGTAAAGAAAAAAGTACTAATAAAAAGAAAATAGTGTTTGTAATGCACTTTTGTACAATTAACAAAAGAGCTAATTAGTTTGTGTGGATTCCTTTTAAAAAAAGGCATATATGGACCAACTATGTAACTATGAGGGCATATATGAGCTAAAATATTAACGAAGGTCAAATGTGCTCAATTTCATATAGTACGAGGACATATATGGACAAATTATATGACGGTAATGACATATATGAGCTAAAATATTAATGAAGGGCAAATATGCTCAATTTCGTATTGTACAAGGGCATATTTGAACCTTTTCTGTTTAAAAAAATGCTATAACTAGTGTTGAAATTAGACTAATAGTTATGCTCAAAGTAAATTTGACTATCATACCTAGGAGTGGCAAACGGGCGGGTCGGATCGGATATAATTCGGATCGAAAACGGATAATGAAAAACGGATACATTATCCGATCTAACCCATATTTAATACGGATAAAAAACGGGTTAACCGATGGATAATATGGGTAACCATATTATCCATGACTTCTTGCGTATGATCACTTTTGGGAGAATTCTTAGTCTCCCTTCCCTAGCTTGAGGAACCCCCAATTTGAGGCTTTAAGTTATAAGCAATTCAAAAGGTGTTTTAAGAATCCACTTAAAACCTTACCAACACCATTTAGAAGTCTTTGAACGATAAATATGAAGTACGAATGCCTTTAGAGCTCCACCAACTATTTTAAAATTATCAAATATGATTCATTAAAACTTGGAAATTGTATAATTTGAAAATCTGATTGTTTGGTGAAGGATAGTTTTAATTAAGTACTTATTTAAATCTAAATTAATCATTAGGAAATTATTAAGCTTGTCTCACAAGATAAAATATTAGTATTATTTTGTTAATTAGTAATTCAAAAAAGTTATTAAAAACATGAAATTAGGAAACTCTGTGTTGACATTATGATCTGAACTAGTGACCTATTGAATTAGGAAACTCTGGGACGTTGTTTTACCTAAGTATCGTAAATTACCAAAATTTCATCTTTGTTTGTTTATTTTTATTTTTAGTGACTAATCTGCTACTAATTTACAATAAAGAGTATGTAACTAAGGATTTTAGGAACTTGAGGGACTTATCTGTTAAATATTTTTGTTAAGCAACTGTACTATATTAGCATTTCAAACAAGTTAAAGGACCTACTATGCTACTATTTGCTAAAGTATAAAATATCTGTGCTGAGCTATTCGAGCTGAAAAAACATGGTGGCTCTATCTCTCCCTTCAACCTTCACTTGCCGGAGAAGAAGAAGGAGAATGAATACTCTGTTACTTTCTCCTCCGTTGCAACTACGTTTTCCGTTCATTCACTTCCGTTTACACACCAGTCACCGCCGTCAAGTTCTCCGACCACCGCCTTTCGCCGCCTCAACATCCCATCTCTCTATTTCCAAGCAATTCAATATCGATAACCTCGAAGTGGAAGAGGAAGACGAAAACCACGACGTCGTTTTGTACCCGAATCGCCGTTACGATTTCACTCCTCTGCTTCAATTTCTATCCACTTATACGCCCACTGAGCCCAATTCAGACACTTCTTCACCCACTCAACTCGACCCGGCCGAGTTAAAACTCGCCGAGTCATACCGAGCCGTTCCGGCCCCAGTCTGGCACTCTCTTCTGAAAAACCTCGCCTCTACGTCATCCTCAATTTCTACGGCATACGCACTCGTTACGTGGCTTCAAAAGCACAACGTTTGTTTCTCTTACGAACTGCTTTACTCAATTCTCATTCACGCGCTGGGACGCTCGGAGAAGTTGTACGAGGCTTTTTTGCTTTCACAGCGGCAAACTTTAACGCCGTTAACGTACAATGCACTTATTGGTGCTTGTGCACGGAATGGTGACCTCGAAAAAGCACTTAATTTGATGTGTAGAATGCGGAGAGACGGGTATCAATCTGACTATGTTAATTACAGTTTGATTATTCAGTCGCTTATTCGTAGTAATTCAATTGATTTAACTATGTTAGAGAAGTTTTATGATGAAATTGAAGCTGATATGATTGAACTTGATGGCCAATTGTTGAATGATATGATTGTGGGTTTTGCGAAAGCTGGTGATGTTGATAGAGCTTTAGTTTTCATGAGTGTTGTTCAAGGTAATGGGCTGAGCCCAAAAACGGCTACTGTTGTTACCTTGATATCTGAGTTGGGCAATTCGGGTAGGACTGAGGAGGCTGAGGCTGTATTTGAGGAGTTGAAAGAAGGCGGGTTAAAGCCAAGGACGAGGGCATATAATGCACTTCTGAAAGGGTATGTGAAAACTGGATCCTTGAAGGATGCGGAGTATATTGTGTCGGAGATGGAGAGGAATGGGGTGGCACCGGATGAACATACGTATAGCTTGCTTATTGATGCTTATGGGAATGCAGGTAGGTGGGAAAGCGCGAGAATTGTGTTGAAAGAAATGGAAGCGAATAATGTACGGCCGAATTCGTTTGTGTTTAGTAGGATTTTAGCTAGTTATCGTGATAGAGGAGAGTGGCAGAGATCATTTCAGGTGCTTAAAGAAATGAAGAATAGTGGGGTGAATCCTGATAGGCAGTTTTACAACATAATGATTGATACATTTGGGAAGTACAATTGTTTGGATCATGCAATGTCTACATTTGAAAGGATGAAATTGGACGGAATTGAGCCTGATACTGTTACATGGAACACGCTAATAGATTGCCATAGTAAGCATGGCCATCACAATAAGTCGGAGGAGCTGTTTGAGGCAATGCAGGAAAGTGGGTGCTTGCCATGCACCACCACATACAATATAATGATTAATTCTTTTGGTGAGCTGGAGAAATGGGAGGAAGTGAAGGGCCTGTTGAGTAAGATGCAGAGTCAGGGCTTACTGCCCAATGTTGTTACATATACCACACTGATTAATATCTACGGACAGTCAGGAAGGTTCAATGATGCCATTGAGTGCTTGGAGGTGATGAAGTCTACAGGGTTGAAACCATCCTCAACCATGTATAATGCCTTGATCAATGCCTATGCACAGAGGGTAAATATTATTCTGACCTATAACGCATTGCTTTATGAATATTTCATAGCTACTTGCTCACTATATCTTAGGGAACTAGTTTCAGGGTACGCGCGTTGCACGTGTACCCTATATTGAGGACAATAATTTTAAAAAAATATATATATATAAATAACATTCAAAGCATGGTTTTAGTCACAAACTAAATATTAAGTAAAAATTTGAGTTCTTGAAAATAATAAATATTGATCATGAAATTGACACACATATAATAAATAATATTCATTTATTCATGATTTTGTCTAATAATATTTATTTAAGTAACAAACTAAATTAACGTATAAAAAAATCTATTAGTAATTTGAAATTAGAATATCTTATGATTGCTTTTGTCTTAATAACCATGTATACTATGATTCAATATGTAGTAATCAATAAAAATGGACAATTAAGTTAATACTTCAATCATAATATTTTAATTGATTTCAAAGTTATAATATATGGAAAAATAATTAAATGTTAATTTTATTCTATTTGAAATCTATTTTTAAAGGCTAAAAAGTTTTACTAATATTACGCTATGAGGCATTGTGCTTTTATAATAGTTCATATATATTTTTATTGATTAAAGAAATATAACAAAATGTACTTTGCTCGCAAGAAAGAAAGAAGATTGTCTTCTGTCTATTAAAATGAACTTGAAATAGCTTTTCAATTTTTTTTTTTTTTGAAAAGCTCTTAGATCTTCAAAAGCTATGTATTCTTGCTAAAACTGAAAAGTTGAACATATAGAACTGGAACTAAGTTTAATTGAACTTATTGAATGATGATTGGGGAATTTTATATTTCTTCCTTTATTGAGTTAGCTATATATAGGATCAACATTCATCAATTTCAAAAAATTAAACCTTTTATTTTATACTCAAATATAAATTTCAATAAGTATATTTATATATTGAGATTAGGTACATGCGTAACGCGGGTACTGTAAATTTTACCAAATAATAAAAACTTCTAACCTAAAAGAAAAAGTTGGGTGTGAGATTTAGGCAAAAAATTTTAAATACAAAAAAGTCTCATAAACCTAAAAGGTATTAACTACAAATAAAGTCATTTAATACTCCAACATAAGAAGTTGAATAGGCAAAAAAATTTTAACTACTAAAAAAGGTCTACTAAACCTAAAAGGTATTAACTACAAAATAAACACATTTAATACTCCTTCATAGGGAGTTGAACGTAGAGGTGAAAATTTAGGCTAGGCAAATTTTTTTTAACTACTAGAAAAGGTCTCGAAAACCTTAAAAGTATTAACTACTCCAACGTAGGGAGTAGTACCAATAGGCAAAAATTTATTAACATTCCTAGACCTTTAATAATAAGAGAATAATTAAATAACTATTTCTAAATTGTCGGAGAATTAATTAAATAATTATTCCTAAATATTAATGAAATACTAAAATTACTATTTTGTCTAATGTGAACTCTATATTTTAAAGGGTAAAAAAGACGTGCTTTTAATATAGTACTAGTTTTAGGATACCCTCTTTATGCGTGTATTCCATCTCAATGAGTATAAAATTTTAAAAGAATTATGCATATTTTATATTGACATTCATTTGAATTATAAACTAAAAGTTAAAAAAGAAGGTATGATGATTGTTGATCTTATTCAGATTTTTTTTATAATTAAATTTTTATTAATCACCAAGTGAAAATATTACAAAACAAGCTTAGCTATTGCTCTTATTTAGCTAATTACTCAATAAAGGAACAAACTCACCTTGTAAAAATACTCAATCAACTCAATCAATTTATTCCACTTAATACTTAGTTCAATTTTATAATTTTACTATCTTAATTTCACAAGTTAAATTATGACAATAAAAGATACAAAATATAACTTACATGTGACAAGTAGTTATGGTCGAGTTTTAGTGACTTATATTAGTTAAATTCAAGGTGATTTGATATCAGCTTTCACATATGAATTATAAATTAAGTTAATCAGATTTCATTTGTAATATTACTTCACTTAATAGTTCTTTATAGACAAATGTTTCTTTGTGCATATTCCCTATATTGTCTCCAACATGTCCTGGAAATACATTAAAGGAACAAACATTGAATTAAGTTCTTTTGTTAATTAGTCATTTCAATGATAAAATATTCTTGTTCTCAACATTAAGGAAAGCAATTATTTTTAATTGATTCAATTTTTAATATTAATTCATTCTAAAATTTTATCCAATGGAAAGTCTTTTTTCAAAAAGTAAACCGATCGTTACTTGACTTTTTTGTGTGTGTTTTAGAGTAATTAAGTCAAAGTAGAAATACTATCTCATCTAATTTTCAATAGATTTTCCAATGTGAAAGTCAAACTTTTGAATTTTCTCCGTAATTTGAACATTTATTTATGAATTTATAAAGTAATTAAACTATAATCAAAAGTATTTAAAAGAAGTAATTGAAAAGATTAAGAAAAATGCATAGTGTTGAGAGAATTTTAACGCGATTTCAATATTCTAATAAAACATGACAGTAAGCATATGAGTATTTTATAATTCGGAGAAATTATAAATATCATGAATTCAATATTCTATATAATCATATCCTAGTAATGGTTCGAGTACCATTAACTATTTAATTTTTGTGTGTCATAAAATTTAATAGTTTGTTTCTTAATAAGTTAATTAAAATAGATTTTACTTGTTATAATAGAAATTAACCCGAAAATTTCATCCATAATTAGAGATATCACTCTTGTCAATATATATTAAATGAAAATATAAAAATAAGGAAAAAGGTGAAAAAGTAACATGCTTACGAACTAAAAGTCACTTGTCTATCTTTGATGGAGCAACATGTAATTTACTTATACTCGTTTTCATAATTCGAGGACTTAAAAAAACCCTTATTAGACTTTTTAAATTTTAAAAAGAAATGGCATTTTCTTATAGTTGCACGCATAGTTTTCAAAATTTATCTTGATAGGTAATACAAGGGCTTTAAAAATACACATTCTTTAAGAATCAAATTATTGTAAAATTCAATGCCACGTCAAGGGATAGTTTTCAAATTTGCAAGGTCGTAAATATTAGGAAAAATAACATGGAAGGAATTATAATTATATTACATAGTTCAAATAAGGAAAGAAGTTATATAAGTTCAAAAAAACTTAATGGATTTTAAAACCTAAAAATTAGGAATCCCTACGTAGTTCAAATAAGGAAAGATTTAATAAGAAAATTATTTAATTTTAAAGTCTTAAATATTAGGAAAATAATTAAACGACTATTTTGTCTAATGTGAAATTAAAATTTAAAGGGTAAAAAAAGGTGAACGACATTTCGCTAAGGATCTTCGTGCTTTTAATATAATATAGATAATTTCCACGAATAGATAATTTATTATTATTATTTTGTATGCTTATTCATATTGGTAAAGCACCTCCACCTACGACCGTTAGGTCCTGAGTTCGAGCACCCTGGAGGGAAAGTGTAGAAACACTATACATCCTCCTGATTGAAAAAGTTAAAAAAAAAAATACCAACTAGTTGAGATTTAGGTTTAGGCGTGGGTACACTTGAAATAGGTATGGAGTTTGTAGAATATTGCTGGAACTTGTGATCCTCCCCCCNCAGGCACTGGTCATATGCCTGCATTGCAGCATAACCTTCCTACTTTAGCTTAATCATTCTAGTTTTCTGTTCATTATCAAATTTTCTTGTGATTGCATATGTAAAATGTTTATCTTCGTCCACAGGGCTTGTCTGAACAAGCAGTAAATGCCTTTAGGATCATGAAGGGAGATGGTCTAAAGCCCAGTCTGTTAGCTCTCAATTCACTAATTAATGCATTTGGTGAGGATCGGAGGGATGCTGAGGCTTTTGCTGTATTGAAGTATATGAAAGAAAATGTGAGTTCACCTTTTCCTTTCTGTATATATACATAGCATGCTCATGACGATATAGTCTCGTGACTTACATACATATCCTACAACTGCAGCATATGAAGGCAGATGTTGTTACGTACACCACTCTTATGAAAGCCTTGATACGTGTGGACAAATTTGAAAGGGTAAGCCTTCTTACGTGGAGTCTTTCATCTATAGTTATAGTGTTGGAGTCTCCATTTTTGTATGGTGCGTCATGATTATTTTGTCTCTTGTATCTTCTTTTTAAGTGATATTATGCATATTATTGACTAAATTTTCTTATTTAAAAACCGAAATTCAGATCTTTATATGCAGCAAAAGAATCAGGCTTGGCAAAAATGGCATAGGATTGCAGTGAATTTTACATTAATATTTTTGCCTTTGTCAGATTGACCTGATTGGCATTCTTACATCCTAGTTGTGTGGATCATGCTAAATATTTTGGCTTTCAGGTTCCCGCCGTTTATGAAGAAATGCTTTTGTCTGGATGTACCCCAGATAGGAAAGCTAGAGCAATGTTACGATCCGCTCTGAGATACTTGAAGTCCACATTGAAATAGTAGTAGACTGTGCAAATCATTGTCACAAAAAAGGATTGAAATTCTAGCTGTGCAAGTCCTTCTAACAAAAGGACCACAATGAACCGAGATGTTTCAGTTTGACTTTGAATTTGTGGTAAGTGAATTGTCTAGATGCTTATTTGAGTCGAACAGTGTGCTTTGGAGTTAGATATGGGTATTCAAATAGAAAATTTCCTTTTTCTGGTGCTTAAGTTTTGCTGAAATTATTAGAAAGTAGAAACATTGAAGAGTATATTTGAACATGAAAAATCTAGTTTTCCTTAGAAGCTTACCATCTAATTTATCCTGAATTATTTAATTTTGTAGGCTGTGGTTCACGGTTGTGCATTGACCTATGACACAAATCAAAATTGTTCCATGTTTGACAGCCAAATCTGGGGACAACGGCAGATAGAGATTCAAGGTGAATAAAGGATCCAAGGTCCGTATTCGTCCCAGCATTCTTTCAACAACACACTTGTACAGTTCTTATAGCAGCAAAGAGCATATTCAGTTTCTTTTCTTTTTGCGGTAACATGTGAAGTGTCATATTTATGTAATTGCAGTGTTGAATTTAGGAACAAGACTCCTATCACAATGTTGTTTTACAGTCTTGTCATATCTTATGATAAGAGGTTATATCAGCTTGTGGATAGAATCTAGCAAATGACTGAGCTCCTTAAAAACCTCTGTACTTGTATATTCTAGCTGTCTTCTTTTCTCCTTGTGGACGTAGTGTAACAGAATTGTAGGATGTTTGGCCAACCTTCTCCAAACCCCGAAAAAAATATTTTTTTTCAAAGTTGAAGTGTTTGGCTCAGTTTTTAGAAGAAAAAAACTCTTTTAAGTAGAAGCAGAAACAGTTTTGAAGAAGCAAAAAAAAAAGTAATTTTTCTCCGATAACACTTTTGAGAAAGAAACACTTAGAAGCAATTTTTAAAAGTTTGGTTAAACACTAATTATTGTTTAGAAGTGCTTTTCAAATTAATTAACCAAACATAAATTGCTTTTTACCAAAAGTACTTCTAAAAAAATACTTTTCAAAATACGTTGATTTTAGAAGTTTGGCCGAACAGACTATTAGCAAGTTAGATTCAGCTACATTGTTCTCGTTCTTAATTATGCGACGAACGGATATGTCTTTCTTTTTTTATTTTTTATTTTAATTCAAAGCATCCATCATGGCGATGGGGTTTTTTTAGGCATGAACCTGTACCTGTATATAATCGAAAAGCAGTAAAACATGGAGGATGATGTATCCTTTAGCCCCCAGTACATAATGAAGAATGATATGCATCATCCTTGAGGTCTGTTGCTCCAATCTAATCTGCCTAGTTTGGGAGATCCTGTCCATTACATTTTGACTACAAAATATTCCACAAAAAGATGATAATCCTACTGATGCTAAGAATATATAAAAAACTGTTTTATCCATTGGAAACATTATTAACAACAAACTGATTCCTTTTTGGTTTGAATCTAAAATTTGGTATGCCTTCTCTATCCAACAATACAACAGCTCTAACATTGTGTGGACAGTTTGTCAAGCTGTTGAAAACCACATGATCCTTCAAACTCTCTCCCAAATTTGCCAACAGGTCGGCCACCATATTAACTTCTCTGTATATGTGAACAAAAGTAAAGCAGTCATCATGTGATATCTCTTGAATCTGCTCCAAAATTAGTCTTATCTCCCAAGGTGGTTTTAGTTTGTTGTTAATCAAAGTAACAAGAAACAATGAGTCGGATTCTACAATAATATTGCCTCCAATTCTATCCCTGCACAGAAGCATTCCTTTTAGTATTGCCTTTGCTTCAACCATATTGTTACTGCAATGGGCATAGAAATCAGCAAAAGAACAAATAAAATCCTCATTCGCATCTCTAATAAAATCCCCATTCGCATCTCTAATTACGCCTCCGCCACCAGAGCTTTCCGGATTACCTTTGCTACATCCATTTGTATTTAACTTAAAGCCTGTCCCTGGCTTGGTCCATCTGACAACTTGGCTAGATATTACCTGTTGTACCCTCTCGGTTGCTAGACACATTTCCATCCATGAATGAGGCAGCCGTAGCTTCGGAAATTTACAATTTAAAAGCGAAGTCATAAATCTGCACACCTGCTGAATGATGATTCTAGCAGACATATTTATCCCTTCAAACTTGGCATTGCACCTACTCTTCCATATTTCCGAGGAGATAACAGAAGGTAAGCAGTGAATTAAAGTAGCATGAACTCCATTATTAGCTATAGTTAACCACCATCCCATAGCCATTTGCCTTATGTCTCCCTGGCTCATTTTAACTCCACAACAGTTAGCAAAGGACGCACACACTTGNTACGCCCACACTTGTCTTGAAATTTGACTCTCACAAAACAAGTGTTGACTAGTTTCTTCTTCATGCTTGGAACAACAACATTTAGAGGGGACAATAATCCCAAGTCTATGGATCATTTCATCAGTGGGTAATCTTCCTTGAAGTAGTCTTTTCATGAAAAAAGAACCTTTGAAGGGCAATTTCTTTTGCCATATCATACTCTTTGTAAAAGTCCTGGTTCTGTGCTTTCTCAATTGTTCCCAGGCTGCACTTTTCAGTTCTCAATGCGACAGGGTCAAAATTAAACAACTTAATTCGAGTACAAAACACAATATACTTGGCCTTTATACCGTGAAAACAAGAAGAGAGTACTACTTATTGATTAGTATAATTAATCATACCTATTTTCATACTAAGTTATATCACAGATATTTGTGTTAATTTGCACTGCTAAACCAATACCACATATTGCCGCTGCATACTGTGACTCCAAACATGATAGAAACAAGTCTAGTTAAATGACAAGATACAGCTATTTTACACTGTTATTTTGACCAGTCACCTACATGTTTGTTTGTCAACCAACGAGTTTGGAAATTTAGACGTTGTTAATTGATATATAATATGGTGTATATTGCCAGTTGTGATCCGGCCCTTCTCCGGACCCTATACATAGCGGCAGCTTAGTGTACCGGGCTGCCCTTTACGGCATTACCAGCTGTCCACTTCTCCGATCTAATTAATCACGTCATGCACGGTTCATTTTGTCAATAATATCATTTTGACACTTTTGTTATAATTGCACTGATATTAAGGTAAGGTGATGCAAAATCGTTTACTTTCTCTTCTTTCCAGTTAGATGGCTGCCCTTGAATTGAATGGCTACTTGTACGCATGTGTGTATAAAGATTTCCAGATCAATGCGTCTGAAAGATAATTGACTTTTTTTTCCTATAATCGTGGTGTTCGGGCCAGCTACCTGCCACCTCCCACCAGCAACGTACTAGCTAGGTAACTATATCCACCAAGACTTGAATAGATGTGAAGAAATCATCTAATTTTTTTGCCTCCGCTTATATTTAAACCTGACACCTCATGGTTCTCACGCACTTCATTGACCATTAGGCCACACCCGTAGGTGGAAGATTGACTTCCAATTCTACGCAGCAGAGTTTTTGGGATATATACATTGTCCTAATCTCTTTACTTCGTGCCAAAGATAACCAAATATAGCTAATGCCCAGAAAAAGCTTTTAGACTCGGTCCATAATGATACTATATTGCTATAGTCGTTGCCCTTGAATTCTGCGTTCTTTGCTCTTGCTATGTCATGAAGGTGACTTTATGTCCAGGATTGGCTATTCTTAGTCTAGCTTTTAAGGTCTCGTTTGGTACGGTGGATAAGCAAATATAATCTTGGAAAAAAAATTTAGTATCGTCCCTTATCCTTTGTTTGGTTACTAACCTTGGATAAGTTATTCTAAGATTAAAAATAGTATCGGGATAATTTAGACCTGCCAGAGATGGAATAACAATCCTAGGATAAAACAGTAAAATTGACAATCACATGATTAATATAACATACCAAACAATCAATAAAAATATAATCCCAATATAACTAATCTCAACATAACTAGGGCAACATAACTTATCTTTCAAACCGTACGAGCCCTTAAAAGATATGTTGTGGCAAACAACTATTATCGAATCTATTTTCTCAAACTTAATAACTTTTTCCAATTATTTTTCTCCTTTTGTGCGTCATGTTTGAATTTGAATAATAATCATAGACTTCCCTTAAAATACTCAAAAGTTCTACTTCTCTATAGAAGTGAATTGTTTCTTATGCCAATAAGTCTACAACCGACATATTTAGCAAACTCATGAAAAAGTCAAACTGCATTCCAAAAAAATATTCACAAACTAAAGTCTCATATTGCTGCTATTAGAAATGTCATCTTTACCAAATTAACTGCTGAGAGATTACCTTTGTATACAGGTGGATAATGACTCCTGCTAGGGGTGTACATAGGTCGGGTTGGTTCGGATTTTATAATTACCAAACCAAATCAATTGTGTCGGGTTATTAAATCTAAAGACCAAACCAAACCAATAAAACTCGGGTTTTCAATCTCGATTTTTCTCGGGTTTTCTCAGATTTTCGGGTTTTTGGGGTTTTTTCCCTGGTAAAATCTTTGTAGAACAAAACATATAAATTGTGCTCAAAATATTTTTTTAGTCCTAATAAAATACAACTATATAAAGTATTTTCCAAGAAATAATACAAAATATGAGATATGTCATGACATTATCCTAAAATATTCAACAATAAAGACAATAAAATTATGTAATATAAATATTGCTAATTAAAAAGCCATAATAAAAATAAACATAATCTAAAAGTACTAAGTCATGCTAAAATAAGTAGACTAATGAGGGACTATTAATTACATGACTAAACGCTAAAGAAAAAATAAAAATAGGTTATGCATTTTTATCTAAATTATTGCAAAACAAAAAATAGATATTCAATACTTCCCGTTCGTAGTATTGAATTGAATGTCTTTTGTTAGGATTGGTATTAATTTGATTTTGGTTTGGGCTTTTGTTAGCATTATTTAATTTACTAATGTTAGTGGCTATAAAACTTATTGGAACATTCAAAAGTTCTAAGTCCAACCTTGAAATAATACCTCAAAAGATAAAATTATGAAATCTTTTAAGAAATATTTATAGATTACATCACAATAAGTATATTTATATATTAAATATATCTAAAATTTCTATATATGTAATGTCGGGTTGGTTTGGTTTCGGTTTGACTTTCTTTAGTTAAAACCAAACCAAACCAATTATGGTCGGTTTTTTTTTTCCAACACCAAACCATAGTCGGATTTTTTTCTCGATTTGACTCGGATTATCGGGTTGGTGCGGTTTCTCTGTTTCCTTTGTACACCCCTAACTCCTGCATAGTGCTGGCAAAATAAGCCCATATTTTGTCAAACCTCCCAATCCGCCCATATTTTAGTGCGTAAAATTTATAAATAGCCATTTTTATTGCTGGTCAATCAAATTTTGCCGCATAATCAAAAGTCAACTATATTTAGCCAGTACATTAGCACCGGAACAATTTGTTGACAAAATACCCCTACTCTGTTTATAAAAGTTACGCGACATGACCTCATACTCTGTTTCAGCAGAATCTAGCGGCGTCAATCTATAGATTGAAGTAAGCTCTCACAATTATTATTCCGATTTTTTAAATTTTGTGGTTTAATCTTCTTATTCTCCTCACTGCGTTAATGTACTATTCTTCTCGTTTGTAATTGAGATCGTAACTAATAATATCTGCATTGTTGTATATTTTTATAAATTTTTTATGAAAAACATTTATTATGTGC